ATGAACGAAAGAGCTGTACGGCAATACAGCATCGAGCATGAGAATGGGAAAGATTGATACACCAATACAAACATTCCATTACGCACGCTCAAAATCGAGTCCGAAGACAAATTTATAGAATCCAGGAAGCACCATACAATCGAAGAGCCAACAAAACGAACTCTTCCAAACACCCRYGCGGCCACTCCTCTACGCGTTTCAACTACCCCGCACGTAGCATCATCAGGAGGATTCGATAACTCCCCAGATCCAGATACGACTCMACTGTATGAGGCCATTCCCTAATGCCTTGCCTCCTTCTTATACTAGTCACCCMACTCCCATTCTAACGGAAGCCATGGATAGATTCGAGTCATCGTAGCAAACCCAAAACCGTGACAAGGGCGAATCAATGAGGGTCATGGAAACCCAAGGAAGSCCGAGCCTCGATCCGATCGGCGAAACACATCGGGGCCGTCCACAGCGCACGTTCTCCATGATCTGCATGCGCACACACCACAGACAACGGATCACAACAAAACAGACAGATCACAGGACACCAACACAAGAAACAGAAAACTCGCTTCCGGGCTTCGATTGCCAGACTCCAATCGCACAGGTAAAAGTCTGCCTTCAGGCTCCAATCAATCAGATGACCTGCGAGCACAGTACAGCTGGCATTCCGGTACCGACGGCTTCACCCCCGTGGACGCACGCACGTCGTCTCCAAATTGCATCTGAGACTGACGCGGGAGTGAACACCTGCGATGGCAAAACCTTACAGTCCCTTGCAACCGCTTCGTGGGATCAGCGCACCCAACGACRGAGCTCCCGGGCTGGCGCGCTCACCGAATGAGAGACCCACACTACCACTCCTTAGACAACATATACTGTTCGTTTCAGCAGTACTCGTAAGTGAAGCAGGCCCGTCAGTTTACTTCAGAGGCAGCAGAGGAACGGCCAGCGGGACCCGCCCCGTCGCCAGCCCATGTACCATTTCGGAAAAGAAGCCCGGATGAGTTCGTCCTCTACCAACCGAAGGTGTGAAACAACTCGGTAGTAGATCTGAACGGGTCCCCAAAAAACCCGCGAAGCCAGGTGTCCAATCATCGCCAAAACATGGTCTTACCGAAAAAAGAACCGGGCCAGAAAAAAGGCAAAGTTCATACAAAAAAATTTAAAACCACCTACCATGCCGTGCCTGAACAAAAATGAAAAGGGACCCGATGAAGGGTCAGTTTGGCCAAATAAGCCAAACCCCCTCGCCGAACCCCCTACCCCGACCAAATGTGTGAAACAATAAAACCTTCAGGAGATGCCACTTTCCTAGCGAACCTGCGAAAAACGGTAGCAATCAACTTCGGCGGGTACCCCCGTAATACCAACTCCATCCTGACGGCTAGAAATGCTTGCAATCGGCCGAAACAGTCAGATGACCAACGATGAATTCTGAACAAAGTACTCAAAATTGCTCCTATCTTCGATTGTTTGGACCCATATGAGCTAAAATCCTGAAAAGAGCCAAAACGCAGCACACCGGATTCCCAGAGGGATTCAGAATTCTTAACCAGAGCCACCGTTCTGATCGAAACCCCTGACCTCTGTACCTGAACTCCGGCAAACTTCCAATCCAAACCTCCATCATCAGCCCTCTCCAATCTAAGCTTCGTGCCATAGCACCGTGTAAACCGATCCAAAATACATTCAGCTCTCTCATAACCACGGTTCCCCGTCACCGCTATGAAGATAGTAACATCATCTACTATCCGAAAGCCAAAAACAAGCCGTCGATCCATCCCCAACGACTGCAAAAAACGGTACTCAGCATATGCGCAAAGAATGCAAGCTAGCGAACAGCTAGAGGACTTACCCATGGGTACTCCAATTATCTGTCTCAGCAGACATCTTGCAGACCATACATAGTTGAACCGGAGGTCAAAAGCTACCATGTCCCGCACCATACCAAAGCTAACAAACAGGCAGTCTTCCCTTTTCGACCCAAAAGATAAGAAGGCCAACCTCCTACGCTTGCCTATGGAAACACCCTCGTAACTCCGCTGAATGAAAAAACCCAGCAACCAGTCTACCGCCAAGAGTATGTCTTCATGGGGCAATGACACAAACATATCCTTAATATCAAACGATCCTGTAAGCAGATCAACCGCCGTCCCCAACTTTGAGAGCGCCAAATCCATCTTACCCAAGCCATCGGCCAAAAGATCAACCGCTTTCAGATTAAAATTAGATGACCGAGGGAGGGAAAACAACATACAATTGAGAGCCCTCGCCACACGTGAACAGGCAAGCTTAGTAGGCTCCGAACATGTCGGGGATATGGGCCTCCATCGCATCAGGTCCTTATGTTTGGGTAATACAAAAGCCCTTCCGAACCTCCCACTCGCATCCCAAGCTCGAACTCTCCCCAGCTTCAAGACCCGAAATGATTCCCGCATAACACACAATACATCAGCCTCAGAACTTGATACACAAATAAAAGACATATTCCAATCAAAAGTGATTTTCTGGAAATGCTGGTAAAGCAACGGACAAATCACTAGCGTATCGAAAATATTTCGGTCAATAGGTATGCAAGCAAAGCATCTCAGGCGTGCAAACCAGCTGAGGAGCGAGGAATCTGCCGAGAGCGCCTCTATCTGGCCATCATCCCAGCATTTCACCAAGTCATGCCTGGTCACTTGAAAAGTTGAACGAATTGATCGACAAATGGAAACAAGCTGCGTTCCCAACTCCAAAACCCCACTACTCCCAACTTCCCTGAGGACATTCCTCGAATTCAGAAAAATCCCAGGAACCCCAGGGATGTCGCCAATACGGGTCATAACATGCCATCCATACCGCCCCCAATCAACTCCAAGTTCGAAACAAGAACAAGAAGCTCTCGGTTCCCTAGCAATTTGTCTGTGGTTGTGGATACAGTTACCAATCGTGCGGTTCTTCTTCCAAACAAAACGTATCCGATGAGAACGAACCGAGTCCGGAAACGCAGAAGCATCCAAAATTCTCCTAACCAACATGCACACCCGTGAAGAGGATAGCCTGTGATCATACCTCGCTTTGACCGTTATGCGCTTACGAATGTCAAACCCAATACGTCTTTTAACTTCTATATCTAAGATCTTCTTCAAGCGCGAACGTGTTTCTTTGCCAGAGAATTCACGTGCCGCCCGGAACCAACGCATCAGTGTCAAGATGCTTTTGGTTGGAAGATCACGTCTACGCCAAGGTTGATGCAACAGCAACCGCAACTCACCTTTGCAAATAGCCCTACCAGTAGGAGTAAGCACGATAGGGGAGAAAATGAAAGTACCTCCCTGCTCAAATAGTTGCTTACCTTCCTTCAGACAAAACTTACCATTTATCCCAGAAACCGATGATGTCCCGAACAATCTCCTCAAAATTGACCATTTATCTGCCCAAACGCTACCGGGGAGACATTCAATAACTGCCGACCTGGACCTACCTGCCACCAGATCACGTAAAAGAAGAAGCAAGCTATCAACTTATCCCCCATTCTGCTTCCTAAACCAGAGCATCGCTCCCCTGGTAGGAACCGCCAGGGCCCTCCCCAGCCTTTTCCTCCGGGATGGTCTGACGCCAAATTTCTTCTGCCTCCTAACCTTTCTTGAATTCAAAACCGGAGAAAACCTCCGAATAATCGCCAGTTCCGCGTGGTTAACCGTAACCATACCATTTACCAAAGGTAAAGCCACGTACCTCCAGAGACCAAAAAACCGGAGCCAACGATAAAGCTTAGGACATACCCCGATCCCTCCGGAAATAGTAGTTCTAATGTGTTCACCCCACCGGATGTACAAACCACGGACCGTACTCCCAACATACTACACCAAGGGGAAGCTAAAAGATACACGACAGGTCCAGAATCCCATGAAGCCCAATTAACGGCACAGAACAGACTCTGAAACTTGGACGCCCAACTTATTTCACCTGCCAAAACAAGAGCTACAAAACATAGCGAAGCACACTTAACATATAGAAGCCTCAACCTCGGTGGTCCCCCTTCAAAAAACGTACGGCTCCGAAGGTTCATCATCTGGAGAAGATTCCTCCATAGTCTATTAATCAGGAAATGCCGAAGTCAGCCAGACATACCTTGATCCACCTCAGGGGATCCCGGGGCAGAGGGAGCCGGTGAAAACACGAAACCTTCATACGCCCATTTCGTCCTTGCTTCCACGATGCGGTCAATGGACGGACCTTTGGTACAATACCTCACCCCCTCTCGTGTGCAGATTCTCTTGAGCTCATCTTGTTTCAAACTGGACAACTCCCGTCTCTGTTCCAAAACAAACTGCAGCAAACCCTCAGGTCCCAAACCAGCAGGAACCTTCTTCCTCGGCCGTTCTTCCCCCTGATTAGAACACTCCGCTTTTCCAGAAGGGTCACCTGAATCCGGCGTCGCGAAAGATGGCTGCCGAAAATTCCCCCCGGGCCTACACTGCTTTTTCCCTTTCCTCTTCCTCTCCCGAAGTGCCGCGAGCCGACGAATCTCCGCATCTAACTCATCCAAATCCATATCTCTTTCATCAGGAGGTAAAAAGTCTTCCCTCCGTCTTGGCGGGGGAGACCGGCCTCCTCGATGTTCTTCCCTTCTTGCCTCGTCCCTATTACAAAGAAACTGCCTCCCAATCGCCGCCATAACCTCAGCTTTAGTAGCTTCCGAATACTTTGCCACCTCCATCTTCAGGCGCTCGTCAAATCTTTTCTGCTCCTCCATATCTTTCCTACGTGCCTTTTCCTCCCTTTTCTCATTAATCAGCTCACGGAGGAACTCCTTCTCTTCCGTGTCCTCATTCGTCCTCCGCGGGGTCCAGAACCTCGGAGTAGATGGTGCAGAAAAACTAGTCACCGTACTACCGTTCCCCCCACCATTATCCGCGTTCCTTCCACTCGGGCACTCACGCGCGAAATGCCCTTCACCCCCACACTGAAAGCACTTCATCGGAGTCCCCATATTACCACCAAACAGAAAAGGGATCGGCCGTAAAGGAAGTAAATCCAACCAGGACCGAAAACTAGTAGGAAAACACCCCAGTCTCTTTCGTAGGAACAACCAAGAGCCAAAAGCGAAGAAAACACAAGTGGCAAGTACACTAATCATACCTCACCTCCACTCTGCGTGCGCCGGTCTCATCATCAACCTAAACGATGATGCGGATAAGGTCCGGTTCGTGAAAGTCTCCTATCAAGAACGCAGCACGAAGCACAATTCTCAACATGATATGAGACAGCCCCCCGTATTTAACCAAATGCGATCACCCTATCCGAAAAAACGTAATCAATCTCCCACCGCCACGAGATTAATCAACCAACCACGTGATCATTCTCCACAACCAAACCTCGTGATCAGTCCCCACCGCCACGTGATCAATCTACCCAACTTCGTGACCAATCACCTGGCCAATCGCCTAATCAAACACCTAATCATTCTCCACTACCAAACTATTCAAACCCCACAACCAAGCTATTCACCAGATCGAACTAGTCGTCGACGAAGCCACCAAAAAATGTACGATTTCACTTATGGTTGCTACGCTTATCAGAATGAACGAAAGAGCTGTACGGCAATACAGCATCGAGCATGAGAATGGGAAAGATTGATACACCAATACAAACATTCCATTACGCACGCTCAAAAT